TTCAGCTAATTTGGAGCAAGAAAAAAGAAAAGCAACCAAAATCGTCACTTATCCCCTTTTATGACTAGCTTCTTCATATAGTAAATGAATAAACAATAGCCTCCATTTGGTGCAAAAAAATGCTCAGGTATTTGTCTGAAGACTATCTGTTTCGAGAAGTGATCAGTTTCCAAGAGGGAAGCTCAAGGGAAACAGCTTCAAGAGCCAGATAATGTCCAAGGACAAATATTCACGCATATTTTAAAAGTCAAATTGGGGCTATATATTACCATTAAAAAGTTCAAAACAGACCCCTTTTGCGAGACAGCCAAACTCACCATAGCTAAGTCAGACTCAAGCGTGTGTGCCATCACCGCCCTTCTTCAAACTTGGACAGAGTACCTTTCAGCCACTCTTCCAATTCATTGATGGGTGCAGTCTTAACTGCACATCTAACAACTTGCGTGTTCTTCTAACGTCTGTGGGTTGGACAGTGCACAATTTTCTTCACACAGCTTCAGAATTGGTGTGGCCATCACAGCAGGAGCAGTAGGCTTTCCTGATTGGTTGATTAAAGTCCTTAGAAGGTGACATCTGATGCTTAAATCAGACATACCGGTATATAAAGACCCCAAAAGAAACTATCTTTCAAGTCCCAAAGAACTTGGCATTTTGCCATTCCTGATTTGCCATTGAAATGCTAAAAACTGCTATATACATTGCAAACACTACAATGTCTCTTTGTACTTAAAACTTGATTCTTAGGTGAATACTTTGTATCTACATAGTCTTAGGTTGTACCAGAGGGCACTCGGGTCCCCCATACTGCCTCTTCACAGCCGTCCGGTCTCCTTGTCACTCAACCCTTGGGGCGAACTCATCAAGGAATGACCATGCGCAATCCTTGCACCTCCTGTGAAGATTCCGTTTAGGGGATCTGCATTAACTTAGTTAATGGACTCCACACAGGGTATCTTCACATCATACTCGACATTATGGGTGGGGAATTGCTGCCTGTGGTGCCCCTTCAGCCCTGGGCTGAAGCCTCATCAGAGATGGGACATTTGCTACTCTGGACTGGGTTAACTTTGCTTCAGGACATTATTGCAGTGCAGATATAAGGCACCCCTCGGCATGGAGCCATCTGGTCAGTGGGTTTTATCTAAGTCTTGCCAGTACATTCCCTGCCGAAGATTGCCCACCAAATAATCTTTTGTTGTTATTGCACACCAAACATAACATTAATTATACTTTTGAAAATTAGGGAATATCACTTGAATGTTCCCCAGTTTTAGCTGGGACATACTCAGTCATGCGATGCATTTAAACCAATCAAGCGCAAGCAAAAAATATTTGATGGATTATGACAATCAATAGCCTCTATTTGGCATGAATTAATTTTTCCTGACAAGTGAACAGTTTTCTAAGAGAGAAATTTGAGGGAAACTATGGTCTTCAACAAACAAAAAATGTACAAGAAGAAAATATGCATCCATATTTTTGAAGCTTAATGTAGGTCTGTGTCAGAGACATTGATTTATAAATGTACAGTCCAAGTCTGGAGTCTCTCAGTTGGTGGCCAAGCTGTCAAATTAAAATAATGTAAATTAATAAAATTATGTTGATTTTAAAAGATTTTTCATTTTTTTGCTTTTTTAATTTTGGATACAAAAAGTGAAAAAAGACTCAGAATTTGTGCACAAATCGTTGGAATGTAGGCAGCCAAAATGAACAGATAAATGAAGAGTGCAAAACTTGGATCATTGGATATTTCCTAGTTTTGCTTGCATCATGTGAACAATCAGTTGCATGAAAGAAATTTAACAAATTGATGCCAGTTTTTTATGCGTCTGTCATCTTATTGATGATAAATTGCGTCATAACTTTGTCAAAGTGGCTGCCGAACCACTCGCCTGCGGCTCGTGGTTCCACAGCCACTTTGACAATGTTATGATGCAATTTATCTTCAATAAGAGGACAGACGTATAAAAAACTGACATCAATTTGTTAAGCTGAGAATTGCTGGGTTCTTTGATTCGTTAGCTTTTCTAACAAATCTTTGTAATAAAAGACTAAAGCCATCAATACACTGCGTTCGATAAGAGAAAAATAGCACAGATAGTGCGGCTGTTGAGTAAATAAAATGATCACTCTATTGATGGCATGTTTGTTTTTGCAATCCTTGTGCGTATTGCATCACCAAAAGCGTGCACGAAAACTGTGTTTGGCCACCTCAAAGTGTGAGGGCTCTGGGAATGTAACCCTAGAATGAATTTCAAAAGTAGCATTTGCACTCAATCTTGTACTTGTGTTGCTAATGACCCAATTTTTCTTACACCAAATCTAAAGTAGTGGTCTTTTTATTGAGAAATTTTAGTGGCCTATGTACAACTAGTTGTCAAGAATGAACTAGTCCAGTGAGGTATAGCCTCCAGCACAATCGCTCTTTAGGCTTGTCACATAATGCTTCCTCCCCCAGGAGGAAGATTGCACAACGAGCCCACACACTGTTTGTGCTAGAGGCTAAGTGAGGTGACAAGTGCCATAAAACAGCAAGCTGATACTACATATAACTGACATTCAGAACAATAATATTATGCCGAAATACTACATTATGTAATTTAGATGCAAGAAAAATTATCTGATGCTGATTTACTGATTGTCATTGGGTAGAAGTATAATTTTAATGTTTTGCTTTTACAATATTTTGTCAATAAAACATTAGGAAACAAATAAACTAAGCTGATGGCAAATAAATTTGTATTCTTGTACAGGATGTATATTATATTCTGTCAACATGAAACTAACAGAATAAAAATACTTGCTGAAGATACAAAAATTATAGCATCATGTTTTCACCTAAAATTTGATGAAAGTGGTGAGCTGTTTAAACAGACATCAACCTCTTGTGCACTTATTACTTTGAATATGAGACTTGCTTCTGATCTTAAAACTATTTTAAAAACGAAATATTTACACTCTGTACAACTGATCATCTTAAAACTCATTAGAAATGTACCTGAAGATTGAAACTACAGTATGGACAAGAAAATCGCTAAAGTATTTAACACTGTGCTTTCCTTCTATTACAAGAAACAATGACATCACAAAAGAACAGAATGATGTTATCCTTTGGTAAAAGGCACTACTGAATCCAAACTTGATGGCAGTGTTCCTTTTCACAACTCTTTTGTTGACATTTTTTATGATTAAAAGCAAATTCATGTAAGAGGCAATTAGTACTGCACGACTGCACCCCTTGTTAGACAAATGAGATCATTGAATGTGTTCTGTTGAGCATACTGCTACGACAGTTATTCTCTTCTTTGTCCAGGCCATTCTAAGGAAGAACAAAGAAATTTCATCAGATGCCTGCTTAAGATAGACAGAAAAGCATTTAGGAGTGAAACAACAGCTACAACATGCTCATAGCTTGCAATTTAAGATATACACCCAGCTCTCAAAGAATGATGTAAATAGCAATAATTATTAGCTTTCAGCCAAGCAGCTAAGCTAGATGTTAGTTGGATTAGGGGAGTTTGTTTCCAGAGAAATTGATCGATCAACAGTTGGTCAGTAGACACTTGATCAATAGTTAGTCAATGGTCGGCCAATTGTCGACCAACTCAGGTGTATTGATTGAAACTCGCTGGCATGTATGCAAAAATTAGTAGACTGTTGACCGAAATGTCAATCAAGTGTCAATTGAGTGTTAACCAAGGGGTCAATCAAGGATCAATTGAGGGTTAGGATCATCACTGTCAATCGACACTTGACCACTGATGTCTTTAGTTCACATGATCCCAAAACCTTGCTTTCATCAGTACTGAGCACTCATTTTGGTCAACACAAAAAGTCACTCATTGCAATAATTATATTCAATACAACCATGTACCCCAATTAAGACACAAAAAAGGTCTTTGACTGAATGCAACTATTTTAATTGCTTCTTTGATGCTACTTTCAGTAATTTAATATACTTTAAGTATCTATCAATCCTATGGACTAGCACTGTCCTTCGATAAGTTATTTTCCAAGTATATTCAGCTACATGTGTCTCTAATATTTCCGTGTCAAAAGCATTTAAAGGCGGGGCATACTAACATTTAAAACCAGAGTTGTATCGTGATAACAACAACCAAAGTTATAAAATACAGAAAGCTTACAGAAAGGACAGTTTTGCACTCAGCCACCAATTAAATCTAACATACATGTACATTAGGATGGTAATTTTGATTACCATAATGATTTGACATGTGTAAAAATAATGTTGAAAACCTTAGTAAGCTTTCATTTACTTACGGCAAACTCATTATATGAGGTACAAACAACCAAAGATTCATTAGTCTTGCTGGATGATTTGAAGCCATTCACCACTTGAATTGATGTGTTACCAGTGTTATTCAGCGTTTTGCTTGTGTTCCCATTTTTCTCTCCAAGAACCCTTCTTTTCACAGCAAGTCTGGCTGACTGCCTCTTGTTAGGTGTCTGTTAACAGGAAAAGCAGATTATTGATCACTGAAACTTACCGATAGAGAGAACTCCAAGCCTAGACGACTGGTCAGGATACAGGTGCCACATAGTTTGGTTTCTGACCTGGCTAAAATTCTTGACATGTTAAATTTCTTAATGAGCAAACTGCTTTTATTTCTAAGTTTTTTTTTAATTACATGTAAATAATAATTAATATTATGTTTTCCTATTTTGTATTTTCAATTAGCAGCTTCACAGTTTACTTGGGAAGACCTGACAGATCATGTGCACCAAAGGCATGACCCGTGGTACCCGTGATACCCTTGATCGACCCTCGATCAGCATCTTATTAACATCTTGATAAACCGTTGTTTGGTAGTTGGCAGAGTGTCGCCTGACTCATATATCAAGCGACACTCAATGGCACGTCTGCAAAAATTAGTCGACTGTC